CCGAACTTATTAAATACGCCCCACAATATGAGACGAACAAAATAATGTTTGTCATCACTTTATCGCTAACCTACAACTATTTAACACTTAGAACTAGAACAATCTCAGCCTTGCTCTTTCTAACATTCCCATTTTCTTGTTAAACAGCATGCACCAAGACCTAAAGGGTCTTAAATTTTCCCCCTTTTCCAGGGACTTCACATTATAAACGTTTCTAAACTTTGAACACGAATCTACAAAGTAATTGCATTGAACACGCAAACAGAACCATTTTAAACTTCCCCAAAGTAGAACCGATCAAAGAAATTAAGACGAATTAAGGAGAAAACACAGTTCAGATTCTTGGACTGAAAGAACTTGATGAAACGAAAAAAAAATAAAAGAATTCAATCGCGTTGAGGACTTACACAGAAATTGGAAAGATCGCTTGATCAAGGCCTTGCCCACTGTTCTTCCTTGAGTTTGTTTCAGATGATTATTTATTCAGGTCGAACTCTGCTGCGTTATCCCACCCAGGATATTATTATTATTTTGCGTGTTTGCTATTAAACGAGTGCGTTTTTTGTGTACAACGTTAAACATGAAGTTCAGAGTCAGCGTCACCCGTAAATTTCACGTGGTTTTTTTTTTTTTTTGTGATTGGACAAAAAAAAACTTATCTTGATTTTTTTATTAAAACGACATGATTAATAATAATAAAAAAAAAGACAAAAAATAAAAAATAATAATAAAAAATAAAAAAGGAAGGAAATTAGGCAACCCAAGTCACATTGTGACCTTGGTCGCAATCGGCACAGAATTTTTTATTTTTTAATTCAATTATTGGTGGAATTTGATAAGGAATAGGACACTTGTCCTTTTCTGATTGGCCACCATAATCTATATCTATATCTATATCTATATCTATATATCTATATTAAAAGCCAACTTATTTACCAAAAATAGTAGCAAGAAAAGTCAACACACATTTAATGCATACTTTATTTGAATTTTTTTTACTATATGCATTAAATACTTGCATATTTACATTTATTATCCAAATATGATCTTAAAATTTTTTTCCTTAAATAATTTATGCAATGATTTTACTGATATCCATTATAATTAATATTTGCCTAGTAATATTTTTTAACCTTTATTTAATTATATAAAACTAATATTTTTTTAAAAAAATAATATTATTTATCATTTAAAAGATAATGATCACATCATTAACTGATTTTATTGATGGTTAGGTAATAAAACTATATTAGTTATTCTTTAAAAATTTTAATAAAATAAAAACCGGCTTAAGAATAAAAAAATCTCATAACATTCGATAAGTCACAAAAAAGTACGTAAAATCTTTAATAAAATAAAAAGACTTTAATTATTTGTCTTATTCCATAATAACATCGATTTAGTCAAAACAAATCCCATAATCGGTGAAGTCAAAAAATGTACGTAAAGCCTATTTATACTAAAAAGACAGATTCAAAATTCCTTATCTAATTTCTGTTTAAAGCATTTTATTTAATATTTATTTATATGAAATATTGGATAGGATTGCTGGATCTGAGTCAATTTTGAAATCGCGTTGTTTGGTATGAAAGGATTATCCGCATCCTATATTGGTCTAAAGCATATTATTTTATATTATTTAATTAATTCATTTAATATTAAATTTTTTTATCATGATATCAGTGTAACAACAAATTTCGTGTATTGAATTTAAAAACACGAAAAATATTATTCAAATGAATTTCTCGAATCAAAATAAATATTGCGGGTTACAATCTCTATTATTCCTCTGATTCTTCTCACAAACAATATATTAAGTCTTGGAGCGAAAAATTCGGCTTGAACTTCTCCTTGACTTGATTTGACTTGAATTAATGTAATGTGAGGGCTTGAAAGCTTTTTCCCGGATCAAACATAAAAATATCCCAAGAACGCGAAGAACACGAATCCTTGGTCTTCGTCGCAAAGTAGATCTCGAATCTTCATCACGCCGGTTTTGAATTTACTAACGTTATTCGGAGGCTTCGCAGCTTGTTTCCGGATTGAATGCTAGTCTTGAGGTTGAACGCTCTTAAATCTTGCTTTGAGTGTTCAAGAACGCCTTTAAATCTTCAAGAACACTTGAATCTCGTCGAGATATCTTGAACTTGAACTTGAATAAAAACGTAATTCGGAGGCTTGGTAGCTTGTTTCCGGATTAAACGTCGGTGTTGAGCTTGATGTGTTTGAATCTTCCTTCGAATCTTCAAGAACGGCTTCGAATCTTCATGAACACTTTGAAACTTGTAGAGAGAATTCTCTAGAGCTCTTGAACTTGGATATGAATTATGAGGTGTTTCTGACATTATGGAGAGCCCCTATTTATAGGTGTAGGAGAGAACTCCCTACCAAATTTAAGAATCGTAGGACGCGATTTGATTGGTCCATGATGATTCACATAAGATCTTTAAGATCTACTTAGATCTCCCAAGATCTTCTAGATCCACTTAAATCTTCCAAGATCTTCTAAAAGATATGATTTATTTACCAAGAATAAGATTTGACACTTGGCATTATTTGATTGGTCAAGAATTAAAATATTAAAATATCAATTAATTAACTATTTAAATTTAGGAATTAAATTTATGGGAATTCCTAAAATATAAATAGAAAATATGACTTGATTTTTAATAAATTAATTTCCATGTGGCGCCATTTGATTGGACACAAATTTTATGTCTCTACAAATGCCCCCTCGAGACTTGTTCACGGACGACGTGTCTTGGAGTGAATAAGTCGCGACTTCTTTTGAATCGTTTTGGAAGACATGATATGGACTTACAAGGTCCAAGAGAGCCCAAGTTGACAAACTCATCATGTGTATCAAATGGCCCAAAACTTTATACCTTTAAATGCCCCACAAGGCCTAAAGCCTTTGAATATCCCATACTTTCGCGAGGACTCTCTTGACGATGGAATTTACTACTGGCAACAGAGCGTTCTATGCGGATCTTTTTCCAAAGCTTCGTTGCCTTGTGCCTCAACAAATGCAAAGAAATCAACACCAGCTTATAAGTCATGGTGGCATCAAGTTAAACATGAAGCCCAGAGTCAGCGTCACCCGTGAATTTCACGTGTTTTTTTT